CAAGTTGCCACAGAAGCTGCCTCAGACAGTGGTAGCTCGTCTTGAAACGGTACTGTCATGGCAAGAAACAAGCCTGCAGCAACCATTTCTTCTTCGAAGACGTTGCCTCGTACTAACGCTCGGAGACGCATGGAGTTGCTGTAGGAGTTCGACGATCAAGTACATCGCCTCCAACTGGATCTGGATCAGACACTAGCGGGCCGAGGAGGTATTGGTGAATCTAGGTAGATAGAAAAGCAGCGTCAAATGTGTGCCTCTGGACACCTAGCTAGGGTTAGTATCATAAGTACTCGCCTGACATGTCAATGCAGCCTTTTTGTTAAGCCCGTTTTCTTTGTTATTCCCCCATGCATGATTTCTAAGGGATCTGAGCTGGTTCACTACCTGAGATAGCCAATGCACGATGCACAGGTCACAATGGTCTTGACCCGAAAGTTACTTGGAGACGCACCACGAATGTTTTCGATGGACACTGCAAGGAATTCAGATGAGAAAATGTTCAGTGGGTTATGCTTCGGGCATTTGGCGTTTTGGTTCGGCAAAAAGATAGAACTGCAACATTCAAGCACTTTTTGTCTTCGCGCATGTTGAGTTAGAACGGTTGTGGTTTGCAGGATGTGGAGTTCGCCGGGTAATGGACTGAGGAAGATGTAACATGTACAGCTAGCTGCAAGGTGCCGCAGAAGAGTGAAAATGGGTCCACAAGACCCATATTTACAGTGGCTCTTTTGACTATCGCAAAGTGCCTTTGGCACAGCAATGGCATTGCAGTTTTCAGGTGACTTCTTCGGTAGCCTTAGTTAGGCTTAACTGTTTTACGGTTGGCATTATTCTATCATCGGGCACGGCGTTTATTGCCAGTTACATCAGGAGATACGGAAAAGTATTGGGAGTAGCGGTCTCGATTGTTGGTTCTAGAAAGCAGCAGCGCCCATACAGGCTGAGCGGACGGATGTGCAGCGTAAGAACTGCTTAAACTGGAAGCAGGACACGGGTTTGCTGCTTGAAGGTTTACTCAAGCCGATATCGGAAAAGTAGAGCTCCGCCTAAGGAGGATATGCGACTAGCGCAGGCCAGAGTTTATGATTACTTTTACATAGACTGTACCAGTTTACTCTCGACGAAAGTGGCCACGCAAGCATTGTAAGTGGCTAAATCTGGAGACAAGGCCCAAAGGAGACCAGTAGCCGTGTGAAGTGCTGTACTCAGAATAATTCTTTAACAGAACAGCAGCGATTTTCGCTATTGTAGAAGAAGCGTACACAACTTCCTGATCGCTAGGTCTGTGTACTTGCTTTGGGTACTACCCCTAGCTGTCTAAAAGCCAATAACAATTCCTCCGTGTACTCTCAAACAAAACTGTACTGGCGGGAAGTTCGCAGTGCGTGGACAAACTCAGTTTTTATTCCTGTGGGTTAAAGGCCGCCAAAAAACTTCTTGGCGCTCGTCAAATGGCCATGCTTTCCCTGCATATATTTCATTTGAAACCGAAAAAGGGCGACGGAAGCAAAAGCCACACGAATTCTCCTAATAGTTTGAGTTGCCCTCGGGGTGTAACTGGGGATGTCGTCGAGCGCGGGCATCGAAGGCTGAAAATAGGGTGCGAGGGACGTTTTCTGCGTTCAACATGGTTTATCCCTTTCAACGGCACTGAACAGGTGATCTGTATCTACGGCTACCTCCAGTTAGCATTTACATGTTGGCACTATTTCACCAAACAATCCGATCTTCTGCGGGGTATCGAACCGATCGTAGCGAGCTCTGATCTCATAGGTGCATGGCCTGCTCGAGTCAAGCCAGCATGAAGCAAAGAAGTCGACGGCTACCAGCCACTAGTGTGTGCAAGCTGCCAAATTTACGAGGCCATGTTTGAGGACGATTTATTGCAGCTTATCGATGGCTTTCTCACAAATAAGCACGACCATAGTATGATCAGACATCGACAATTCCTTGGAGCCCATATGGAAAGACTACGTGACGAATGTACTTGCCCGCAGGCAAAGGCTGATCCCCCGAAAAAGGTACTGTGGAGAGTGGAGACCTTTAACGGCGATATGAGTGCTGCCTTCATGGCTCTCCCCTTGCATATATATATATATATATATGGCGCATGAACGGCGAGCTAAATGTCCCCCAACAATACTGTACCTCCCCGCTAAAACGGTGCGTTGTACAATGTGTACATTGGTGTTCGGGAGAATACCTCGCAGGCTAGAATCAAGTATTTACCTAACGATACAGCTTATTTGGCAGCCTATTGACACACTTGGAATGTACTGGTATCAGAGCTCAAGCTTGGAGCGATTCATCAGGGATGGTAGAGTCCTGAGAGCAGGAAAGTGAGGCTTCGGCAATAACTGCGCCAGCAAAGATAAACGGGCACCACTCTACAAGGGAAAATTGGCAAGAGAGAGGACACCACGGCAAATGTAGAGCTGCAAAAATTTGGACTGAGTTGTGCACAGTTTTATCCAAGTCGTAGCTGCCACAGAGCAAAGTAGACTGACAAGTTACGAACAGATATCCGAAGTTGCCAGTTACCCGAGCTCGCCTACTCCACCGCTCACTGAGGAGTCTGCTCAAGTCAAGACGAATAAATCAAATCGTCAGCCTCAGAAAGCTGTACACGAGGAAAATAAACAGAATGAACAAACAACAACGAGTGGAAAACGAAGTGCATCGTGCGAATTTTTCGGATTACGAAGAAGTGGCAGCCAGCCTAGGCTTCGATGATGCACTCCAGCCAAGAGATTTCGGTAAAGCAGTCCCTCAAAGGGGCTCCTATGGAGTGATATTGAGTACGCGGCACATCATCTGTGTGTGGTATAGCGAACTCTCTGACGCCAGGAGCCTTAAGTAGACAAACTGCTGCAGGATTCGCAAATAGGCGATCCGCTGGCCCACAGGAGTGGCAATAAGGAAGCAATTAAATGCACTTCACAGCAGCAATGCGCAGTAAAAAAGGGTCTAATGTTGGCATTGCAATAGCCACTGGCACAACTAAACGCGCAGCGCGTGCCACAAGAAGCGGACATGCACAGCCTGTGATCGATTGTGGAACGGCCCTGCCTCGCGGGTGCCGTCCTGTGTAGCTGCAAATATTGGAACAGTACTTGGGACAAGCGTTGCAGTTGCATAACCCGGCGAAACAAGCAACTATGGCGGTGCTCCCAAAGTATTCCACCCCATTTTATTTGCAAGCACTTTCGAAATGGCTGGTTTTTTGGAGAGAATAGCGAGAGAGAAGTAACATGAGAAGGGGCAGCGCCCAACATGCAAGCGGTAGAAATATAACTGGTACAGAGCATTACTCTTCCTGGAGTATACAAAAGGAAGTGGTGTTCTACGGCAGACCGGATGCATGAGGGGGAAAAAGGCTGATGTGACCAGGTGCACCCCGGCGGGGTCACAGGTAGGGCCGGGAAGGAAACCGGAGACTGTCGGGGAAGAAAACCACCAGGGAGAGCCAGTAGCATAAACATTTGCTACTCTATATTTTCAGCCAATCAAGCTATTAAAACGTGCCCGGGCTGTGCAGCTGCTCACTATTACTGCGCCAGGCTCAGCCTGTTGACTTGTGTCCTATCACGGGCCATGGCTTCCAGTGCAGAAAAAATGTCTTTTCCCGCCAGAGGGGACCAGAGCAATGCATCATTTCAAGTTTATTGATAACAAAGGAGAGTTGCTGAGCTCATACGTAGTTATATGTACGGTCCTCCGCCACAGTGTGGAGAACTTTAGTGGTGAACGTGTGAGCGAGTAGAGGCCAATAGCCATGGTTAGAGTATATTTCCTGCCTACATCTAATACGATGGAGTACAACAACATGGAAGCCTATGACATGCTTTACAGTAGCGTTGACTACTCAGGTTCCACCAAATTCCTGATGCTGCGGAAGTCGTACCAGAAAGCATTTTTCCTGGGTTTGCCCCTGCCTTTCTGTAGGAGCAACAGCAACGTCACGGCCTGCGCGCCTAACGAGAGTCGCCATGTTAGAAGCGGCACTTCATGTACGAATTTTTGCATCTGCTCATTGTTGTACATTCAACACCCCTTTGTTTGGGGGGCTCAAGATACCTTGCAAAACTTTTCAGGGGAACGGTTTGCCATACTGCCGTATCCTTTGGGGGGATCACTGCACTCTTTAATATTTCGGTGCCGGCAAAAGAGGGAATATCTTAGCGAAGCCCAAGCATGCTTTTTCTTTTGCCAGGCGGTGGCAGCAGTGAGGGCGCTCCACACGCGTGGTGTACCCCATGGCAACATAAGCTCGAAACAACTTTTCTTCATAGACCAAGCAGGGCGCCGCCTGGCGTTGTCATTGCTTGAAAGAAAGGTGCATTCTCTAGGCCCCTGTGCTACGGCCACCAACGAAGGCATCTCAGTGAATAATTGTCTAGCCACGCTGGTTGACCAACGGGCGGAGGCTCTTGCTGACATCAGAGCGCTTGGAAGGCTGTTATACGAATTGTGCTGTCTTGAACCACCACAGCATATGTGCTGCCTGCTGGATCGCAAATGGCGCTGCCAAACTGCGAAGCAGGTAAGTGGAATGTCCCAGCGGAGACAAACGGGCGAAGGCTCCTTTTCTGGGGCAAACGCAAGCTGGAGACCAGAAAACGTAGTGCGCCAACAAGAGCTGTACCCTCCTATTTCTCAGCGTTACCGGCCGGAGGTAGCAGAACTTGTGCACTTATTGCTGTTGGGGGAAGCAAGCGCGCTTCCCACAGCTGCAGGCATTCTGGAACTGCCGTTTCTCGAGGTACCAAGTAAAGCAGTGGCAATGCAACTATCTATGTTCTCTCACAACCAAGACGGCAGTACGCAACCCCGCGACTACGCATCTCCAAGGCTTACAAGGCTGAGCAAGTCCGCTTTGCTGTATGTGAATATTGACACCACTGAGTGTGCGTGTACTCGCCCTAGCTTTCCAAGTTCAGCAGCCATAGGCGGCAATGCAGGTTGACGTAGCTGGATATCATACGTTTTTTGATAGGGAGATGGATTCATCAACGCCGACATTACAGCAGTTGACAAACACTCCAGTAAGGGAAGAGGCAAAAGCATGCTTTCGAGTTATCGCATCTAGCGCTCGCTTTACGGACAAACACGATGAGCGTACTCAAAGTAATCAGCCCACTTCAATGGCATCGACATTGAACTGCAGTGAAAACTGTTGTAGGGAGCATGTGGGAGAAAAAGGGGAGAATATGCGTGTCGAAAAGGTAAGGAGGGCCATGACAGCTGTCACCGTTTGTCGGTGACGGCCATTGCTGAAGGCACACGATCGAGAGTGTTTATTTGCTGTCAGCGCTTGAGCGGTGAGCAAGTGAACTCCGCCCCATTCAAAAAGCTTCCAACGACTCGAAGAAACAGCCAGAAGCTTCAAAATTGTGTATCAAATGCCCAAGATAACTTCAGATGTCATGGGACGCAGAAAGATCCCGAATATCGCGTTTCCTTAGATGGTACATCCGCGGGTCCGACTGATATCAAGGTGGATCAGCAGCAGCAACTGCAAGAGGAGTCACCCATGTTTGGGGAAGCTGCGGTGCACGCAGTGATGGCTGCCCGCAAGCTTCGAAGAAAACAGCAAAATGCAGAAAGAGAGAGCCAGTTATCAAAAATCCGCGTCGAGTATGCTAAGGAGAGGATGGCTGTAGAAGAGACTGTGAGAAACCGGCTTCTGCAGGAAAGCTCCATAGGGATGCCCAAGCAAATCTCAGCGGAGCAAGAGAAACTGAAACCTAGGGCATCCAGTTTCACGAGCAACATCCCAGTAAGGCCTTAGCGAGGGTGAATTTTCAGGTATTTCTTCTCTCAGTTGTAGATGCTTTGCGTGCAAATTCCCGCACGTGACCTTCACTTTCAATATGCACACTGCCGACAGGGCATTGATTTGGCAAGGCCATGCGCTTCGAGACGCGCTACTCCCTTTGCGCTGCGCGCTTTGCGCAGTGTACACGCTGCTGCCGCGCTCCACGCAGTTGCATCTGTGGCCCCCCTCATAAATCATTACCGCATACGGCAGGCATAGATGCAGCAGGTGCCGCAGGATCTGCTGCAGCAGGGTTTAATGCAGCATCCCTTCCTGATTTGGTGAGCGACAACACTGAGTATTTTCACACTAACCTTGTAGCCTGCTTTGCATCGGCAAGTGCATCACATTAAGTGCACCCATAACTTCTCTGTGTACCCAGATACCGCCTGCGCCTGTAGTGCATTGACCATAAGGTTCCTTGCCTCATTTGATGTAATCTGTGGGAGCTCAACCGATGTCGTTGCCTGCAGCGTCCAAAGATACGACGAGTGGGTCAGCAATACTGCCACAGTGTGTATTCTGCAGCATATCAGGTGAACCTGGGGGGAGACGTAAATTGCTTACGGAAGCGAGCATGAAAGTTGCAAACACAGGCTTGTGTGAAAACCGGTTGTGGAGCGTGTAGGCCCCGTCTTGCGCGCCTGTAGAAGAACACTACCCTCCAGATGATTCGCAGTGCAGTCACCAAGGGTGTTTGACCCACTTCGGCCCAGCAGGCGGGTCTTCTGTTAAAGTTGCGCGTAAACCAAAATCTCATTTAGAAGCACCATGGCCAAATCAACTTCAGGTGCGGCACCTTCGATGGTACCACCAAAAGATAGGGAGGGGATGCTTGGCGGACAAGGGGCAGTGACGAGTGCGCCCAGGGCTTTTGGGGCCTTGCGTACAGCGAGAGCATGCGACGCAACCCCCGATGCAACTTGTGGACATTTGCCCCTCTGTTGATTGAGATTTTTTGTGGATTCGGTGCGACGTACTGCTTCGAACCAGACGAAGTTGGGGACGAACGTAACTGAGAAAGCTCATCAAGTGCACTTTGGATCCACCACAAAGCCAAATGCAGGTTCGTTTGCCCCTTCCTTGCAGCATTTCGACCTCCCACGATTGGCAAAAGACTGGAAAATGGGGAAAAGAAGAGCAACAGAGCGACACGGCGAATTTTTGGAATACCTTGTACCAATCCGCGCGCATGAATTGCCCCTGCAGCGGCTTTAATAGAGGAGAACGCAGGCCATGTGGAAAAGCTCGTTTCTAATATCCGAGGGAAGGAGGACAGAGTGGCAATGGCCACAGACGATACCCTCGAAGACCACAGGCTATGCAAAGAAGAACAAGGCCCCAGTGTACAGGCGGATCATACACACTATTCCGTCGCCAAGTGCACGGTGACAGAGGAGGCTGTGGGGCAACAACAGCAGCACTGCCTGCCATTTGCCTTGTGGGAATCTGTAGAGTCCAGTAGATGGTTCACGGCCAAGGAACCTCCACTTTCGGAAACACTAGGTATTCCTTCAACCGATTCGGTCGCCACTTTTCAGGGACATCACACGCAATGGAGATCTATGCAACAGCCGACCCTTCACGTTCTCGTAGGTTTACGAGAGACTGAAACAAGCTGCAGCTGCACCGAAGAATCACAGCTTTTGCCTGTCGCCCACTTTGGTCTGTCTTCCACCGGGTGCTCTGACTAGGGCTCCCGATCGGTCAAAGCCGTAGAGAACATTTTATCAAACTTGTTTCTGCATCATTCCGTTGTTTCACATAATTGGTCTGACGACTGCCAAGCCGTAGGGGTGCGCAAGTCTCCGAATCCGTTTATGCGAGACTTGTGGCTAAAGCCAAGCTGTAAGGGAAAAGGAGGATAGAAGGGCCTTTCGGTGCAAACAGCTGCTGGCTGGGCAGTGATGTTCCCATGTGAGCACGAATTTGTTGTACAGCGTTAGGCAGCACTAGGGTCGTATGAGGCAAAGGCACCTTCTCTATGATGAACCTAGTTACCTGCGTTTGAGAAAGTAAGACAGTGACGTGAGAAGCATGCCCCAGAGTCAACTTTTTCGCACGCACAGGCGGGTTTGTCGTGTCGAAGGGCCTGCAACAGCTTTGATGAGTCTCTGAGAGAAAAATGTGCTGTGCTGCTTGTGTTACGAACAAAATGAGTCAGTGTAGAAGGTCATTGCAAATGCATCAAATTACCCTTTAAGGGCATTGCCGGGGTGCCCGACTTTCTAGCAATAGATCCGAAAGCTCGTAATTTGCTACACCTTCACCTTCAAAACCACGCAAGGAATGAGCGTCCTGGAAACTGCCGTGGAACACTACAGCTCCGGTGTGGTGATCACAGCTTGGCAGCATGAAGGCCTACGCAGAGATCCGAAGCAAAGCGTCGAAATTTGGAAGCTAGAACCAACTACAGATTTTTCGTGAGCACAGAAGGCGAGTAGTCAGGGTACTCCAACAGATCAGCTGCTTGTAACAGCGGTGCCGAGCTGCGCAACAGTGGCAGGCGAAACCATCGCTTCTTTAATCTTGTATACAATGTGTCTACGAACTGCGCATCGGGTCTTGAGCGCTGCAGCTAGACTCGGATCACGTTTTGCCCGTGGTCCACGAGTCGTAGGTCTGTTGAGATAGCCCCATCACAACAGCTCTAACCACTGCATCACGAGCATTGGCTGTTATTAAGAAAGATCCCTTCGATATCAGGCCGCGCGAGTACTGGAGAGCATGCCGCGTATCTTAGGCTTCCAGCGGTTTCTTCTTTGATGCCCACCAAAAGGAGTTCTGTCTGGTAGGCATCAAAGAAGAAACCGCTGGAAGCCTCAGATACGCGGCATGCTCTCCAGTACTCGCGCGGCCTGA